TACATCTCGACATCACACTCGCTAGTTGTTAAAATACCTGACAGCTGTGAGTGGGAAAATAGAGTTAATAAAAAAAAAATTTTTACTTTGCTATTATTGAAAACAAAAAGTTAATTTTTTATAGTACAATTTTTAAAACTCTATTTTCCTCCCCCGCCCAAATTATAAACCATTTTTTCTCTCCAAAACCCAAGTCAACCTTATTTTTGTTCGAAAATGGGCCTATAAGTAATATTTTTTTCCATAAGGGATCCTATTCAAGTTTCAGTATCTTTTAATTACTGCTGAAATAATCAGTGTTTTTCGAAATATGTTCAACGAATCAACAGTTTCTTAATTAATATAAAAAAAATTAGTACAATTATAATAGAAAATATTATTTTTAGCCTTTCTTGAAGAATTGTTAATAATGATTAGGCTTCCTAGATATGAAAGACTCATATCTGCAATACCAAAATAGGTAAACCCAAGGTACACTAGTATATGATTCTCTAGTTGGAAAAAGGTTACATAAATAGTTTTAATGCAGTAAATTATTGTGTGTTTAGTTTTGGGATTAGGAAAAATAAAGAGATAAACGAAAATCTGGAAATTAAATAAAAAAACATTATTTTTAAATCAGTGTAAATAAAAAAATATATATCTAAATTTATTTTTTTGGTGACGAATTATTAGTGATGGGTAAAAAATATTTTCTAGTTACAATCATCGCTATCAAATAGATTTAATGTTGGAATCCATTTAAATGGTTTTTTTTTTTTTAAATCAGTTCAAAGAAAATAAAAAACAATTTTTTTTTTAATTTTTATAATTCGGCAAGAATGAAAAAAACATAAAAATCATCTGAATTTAAGAACAAAACTGCAAATACAAATTAACCAGCATCTGTTTGTATTAGTACTTTGTTGTTATAAAAAAAAAGAGTCGCATTTATTAAAAGTTTGAATTTAATTATACAAACCATTAAGCAGTTCTTAGTCATAATTAGTGAGCAATATAACTCCTAACGAAATTATTAGAGTGTAAATTATGTTGCGTGTTAATATGTTACTAGGTCTTTTCTTCCACGGTCGAGGTAGTTGCTAACAACTGTTGACTTTAGGAGCTCACTACATTATCCTCAGAGAAAATTGTACTCATTACAATAATTTCATTATAATTACTGCACTCATTCATCTAAATTATACAGATGTTTTATCAGATATCGTAAAACTTTGAGGATTTAAGGAACACAGGTACATAGTACCAAATTTTTAGTTTAATATAACATATCTATTTTGTTGAACTCACCCTTCATATCAAGATCTAATATTAATCTTTTAATTAGGATAGAAATTTCAACCCTTTTATAGAATGACCGAGAAAGACTGAAACCAGTTTTATATAGGCTATGAATAGAAGAGCTTCGAGCAAGTTTCCTTCAATAGAAACCTACGGTCCTCAATGTCTTCTACAATCGGAACCATCTGGTTTTTCTTTTGTATGAATGAAAGGAACATGGACTGGTATCGGAACCTTGGAGGACACCCAGTTTTTTCTCTCTTAGAACATTTTATATTGTATTTAGATCCAAAAGATATATTACTACCTAATATTTACGTATTTAATTATAAGCTTAATAATTAACACTTTTCAGAGAATAATAGAGCCAATCAGCAAATTTTGAGACAAATATAGACATTTCGGGCTCGATGAAGTTTTTATCTTTGAAAGGAGGGTAAGGTTAAAATTGACGTATTATATTGCAATAATGATAATAATGAAATGCTTATCAATATAAGATAAAACAATGAATAAATTAAGGTATCAATTTACTGACATAATTATTATTATATTGATTATTTTTATCATTTGTTTTTTAATTTACGAGAAACTAGAAAAAAAAATGAATTGCTTAAACATAAAAAAAAAAAAGATGAGAGAAAATCAAAACTAAAAACTTCTAAAAGTATTATGATTTTTTACTAAAATATAGAGAAAAAAAAGAATTTAATTGTTTAACAAAAATAGAAAGAAAATTAAAATTGAATTAATAATAACTGAAACCAATCGAAACTTTTATTATAGACCAAAAAATAAAACAAAAACGTTTTACTATGTTATAAAAAAAAAAAAACACCAACATTTCTCTATTATTATGTTTTAAAATACATTTACTTTGCTGTACTTACCAGTAAAGCTACTTTCCGTATAAATATTTTTATTTTGTTTATTTAATTTTTTCTATAAAATTAAAATTTTAATATTAATATTACGATACATCAGAATAAAACTATCGGACAAATAGTTAGTACGCGTAGTTTGATAATGGAGTTAAGATTGAAAAAAAGTAAGGTTGGTTGGCAAAAGTCTTTATGCAGATATTTTTTATTTTATCAACGATCACGCATGTCTTTGGATGGCTTCATAAGATGTCAATAACAAATTTTTTTTTTCCTTCTTTCTTTCTGCAATGATGATGCCTGAATTGGCGAAACGTTCCCAATTTAACTGTTCACTTTATGCCGGAGACTCATTGCTATATAGTTTGGTTTGTTTATCAAGGATCTTCTGTTCTTAATATTTTTGATTTCAATAACTATAGATTTTGTAAGCGGGTACTTCTTCATGATCAATGGAATCAGGGGTGCCCATCCCCCCAAGGTCGATGGCGCATGATCCCCCCATCCCTCTTCTAAGATATTTTATTTCCCGCCTCTTCTTAAAAACACTGCAAGCTAAGGCACAATTTTAAAAATCATATGTCTTATACAATTACACTTTCATTGGTCTGTACTATGCTTTTCTCTTGTCCAGTGGTTTGTAACTTTTCAATCCGTAAATTCATAACTCTGTCGAAATGTGTCTCCCTCAAAAATTCAAAACTCCATCAAAATGTGGTGCAACTTGCGCCATGAAACCCCCATTTGGGCACTCCCGAATGGAATATATCAATGGAGCGTATGTCTACATGGGTTTAAGAAATCATGTGTATGGAAAAAGTAAATTTCATTCTTTTTTTTGACAAGTAGGGTCGAAGTTATCCATGGTACTAAGTCAACCTTATACAATTAAATAATATAATTTGGTTATTAACTTAAGCCCATATGACCTATGCTTCACAAATTTACTGGTCAGTTAAAACGAGCCACATACGAAAACTACAAACTTTTCAGTCAAAAACATTCAGAACCAAAGCACCATGGTACGTCAAAAACGTTAATTTTCATAAAAACCTTCAAATGCCAACAGTTAAAGGTCATATACGGACCCACTACTAACGATTTCACAAAAACTTACAAGGACTTACTAATACACTTGCACTAAGTATAGCCACATTTAACTTGCCCGATAACACGCATAGGAGCCTCAAAAAGAGCTGGATTAGGTATTTTCTCGCTTAAAAAGATGCTAAATCCAAGACAGGAAGGGATGCCGCAGGGCAATCCTCTCCATCACGCCGATCAAGCCACTACCTGTACACTTACCGACAGCAGACCCGCTAATTGTCATTGCTTATGACCGGTATGGGTGAAGAAATGGAGTTGTTTTCTATCTATGACGCTAATATACATTCTTCGTATTTTTCGCTTAATTGGAAATTTGAGAGACATCTATCTAAATCAATTTACGCATATTTAGATGAATGAGAAATCAGTTGAAACTTCATCCTAACTAGGAATGAGGTAAAATCAATACGCTCATCAGTCACCATTACCCAAGCTTGATGCATTCAACAATAGCAAGTAATAGAAAGAAATCCAGGTCAGTCAGTAACGAGCTATTCAATTCGGAACAGCGATTACTCATGCTTTTACATTTAGATTTGCTTGGGCGGTCCCGGTGAGAAATTTTCCAGCTCTTCTTTTCCGCAATGTTTAGATTGTTAAACGAAATCGAAACATTATAAAATTAAGTAACGAGTAGAAGTTTGTCTCTTCTTCCCTTGTGAATATCCAATCGGGACATACCCATAAGAATAAATAATGGTTCTAACGTGTTTAGTACCTAATATTGATTTTCATATGTGGATGTGAGACCTGGACACTGACCAGTACCCTAGAAAAAATTATTGAAAGATTTTTAATCCTTCGCAGGATTACCAGAACGATTTGGGATCAGAGTACTAACATGGGGAAAAGAAAGACCAATAAAGAGCTGCTTACAGAAACTGGTCAATCAATATCACATAATTTGAAGGAACGGAAGTTAAATTGGCCGGGGCATATAGCTCGTAGCGATCCGTCTGGAAGCCTCTAAGTAACAATGAATGACTCAATAGAAGGCAAAAGAAAATATATAGATAGAATCAACAAAGATACAATTTCAGATAACTGGAAAGAAATAGTCCAAGACAGGCCTGTTAAGGCGCCAAAGATCTAAAATTTCTGAAATATCAACAGAATAAAAATGATTTTCATTTCCGATTGAGAAACTTAATTGAGATTAAATCCAATCCATCACTAAAAATATGATCGACAACTGCAGGGTAACATAACATTTAATTAGAACATGGATGTATCACATCAGTAGATATTTTATAATAAAGGCTACATTTTTATTAAATTGAAATAAAAATATAAAACCCGGCTGTAGTTTTAGAGAAGTTCTTTGTTTATTCATTTTTACCTTTCTGGAAAACTCAACAAGAAGAAAACATGTTAAAAAACCAGTCTATGAGGTTTACATAGTTTTCAAGATTTACAAATTTTCACGTATGGAAAAACAATTTTTTTACAACCATGAGTCACAATTGAGTCGCTTATTTAGTTAGTAATATAACATTCTGCCACATAGACAATGGTCATAGTGAGGTAACACTAGCCTTGCATTATATATATACATACTATAGAAAATATAAAATAAACAGAAGTAAAATAATAATCAAAAATTATATACAATAAATAAAAATAAAATAGCGAGTATATATTAAAAATATATATATATATATAAGGCGTGAACACAAAGAGCAAGACAAAAGATACTCGGTGAGGAGAAAACTAGTACCAATCCGTGGGTTTATGATAAGGAGGCGGCGTTGCCAGTTTGAGGAAAGCTGGCAAATATTTAAGGTAAGACTTTCTAATTCAACAAGATCTTACAAAAAAAAAAAAAAAATGATTATTTATTTCTAATTCTATCAGGGTTTTTTCAATCTAGGATTTTTTAAACATCCATTGAAAGAGAAGCTAATCCAACACTCAAGACAGCCTCATACATGCTAATGAGCTTGTAACACTTAAAGGATTGATTTGAAATCGTTATTTATCAAAATAATATTTAGTTGTTTTCACAGAACTTTTCAACAAAATTAATATTTATAAAAAAAAATAAACTAATATATCTGTAGGTCATTCTTTCATAGAGGGTAAAAAAAATATTTATATAGAGCGGTTAAACGTGTTGGCAAACTTAAGAGTTAGTTTTAATTAATTTTCAAAACGTTTTAGTAAATAAAATGCAATGCAAATTTTTAAAATAAATTGATTCTTTCAGGCGTTAGAAGTATACTATGTCGCACAACGGGTGTGCGAAAGGTGCATTCCAGTTACGCCTTTTATTATTAGTGTTAAGGGGAGTTTATTTAGACACAATTATTATTTATTTAATATTTGATAGACTGGAAAATTTAAAACTAAATATGAGAATAGAATATTATAAATTGTTTGAATAAGCAGGAAACGTATTTAAAAAGTTTAGAAGGTGGGATTTTTTTCCTTAAACATTTCAAACAACGTATTATTAATATAAATATACGCAATAAGTTGAGAAATTATTGGTCTTTCTTTTGCTACATATTTATCTACATAAATGTTAATTAAATATTTTTAAAATATGAAAATGAAAATTTTTATAGATAATTTAAGCATTTTTATGAGGCCATACATGGGTATACAGTTAAATGGACGTGGGCGAGAGGAGGGGGGAGGAGAAGTTCAATATGTGGAGAAACTTTGTCAATTTAACGTTAACTTGTGTCCGACGTTGGTTCCCCATTTCCAATACTGAAAATTTTTAATCGACCTAGAAAAAAATAACTCCTTCCAAGAAATTAAAGAGTTTACATTTCGAGATACATGAAATCGAAAAAATAAATTTAGAAATTTACGGATTCCCACCGATATTGGAATACCGATTTTTTTTTAATTTGGCAAAGTTACAAATCATTTCAGAATGATCTAAGAAATACAATATTACCATCCTTCATTTCTTTTCAATTTATCGGCTGATTAGAGATTTAGTATGTCCATAATCAGCCATATACGAATATGAAGGATATAGTATTTAGAATCATTAGGTTTATCACTATCAAAAATAATAATAATAAACCATTGTATAATAATTTCCATCATTTTAAAAGCGTTTTTATACTTTCACTTACCTATATATCAAATATATAGTAAAGGAAAGTATTGCGATCGTGAAAATTGCCGATTTTCAGTTTTTAACGGAAATAGAAGTTTTGAGATCGCCTGAGTCAAAATTGTCAAGTCCCGCAAAATTGTCTGTGTGTGTCTGTTTACAGTCTTACTCAAGAAAGAAAAGTCGTACGAAAGTGAAATTGCATATTTAAGGTTTTTATATGCTAGGGATGTTACAGGAACTTTTTCGTCATAATCGGCTAACCGGAAGTGGCATTTTATATAATGCATTAAACACATTTTTACGATTTTCTCGAAAACTGCTCTAACGATTTTGATTAAATTTATCACATCAGTGTAAAATTAAGCAGTTTTAAATAAAATGTTGTTTTTATTCGAATTGAAGTTCTCTAACAGGGTTTAAATGACTAATATTCAATATTAGCTTCTCCTAAAGAACCTTTAATTTTTTTTTTTGAAACGATCTACCATTTCAAATTAGGCTCTAATATAAAATATTTGATGATTGACTAAAGGAGAAATAAGAGATCATAACGGAGAATAGTTGTACTTGAGAAACCAAAGGAATAGCAGCTCACCAGAACTGGCCCGAAAGATTTAAACACGTTTTCATACGTAACATGAGCTTAATATAATACGGATTCCGACAATATTATATGAATATGGGGGGCGGGGTGTCCGAATAGGTTAAAGCGAGTGCACAGCACCGCTCGTTGCCTGGCAACCGGATAACAGAGATTTGAAATGATATATAAAGTACGAGTTCGCGTCCCGGTGCCGGAGGGGATTTTAAATTTCCCGCCCTCACTCCCCGGCCCGGGAAAATCCCGTATAGCCTAAAAGGTGAGGTAGGGAAGAACAAAAAAAAAAAAAAATATATATTATATGAATATAGATATGTGGTTTTCATAAATGCTATTGTTGGCATTATTTAATGTCTAATTGTATAGATTACAGCGATATAAATATCAAAATTTGTATTTATAAGAATGTTTATACAAATGAAAATACCCACAACGAAATATAAATAAATACAGGGTCCATAATTTTTATTTTCCCTTCCCCTTTGTCTGAAAATACTTAGTTCTGCAAAAGAGATTTTTGAAGAGAGAAGGAGGGTTTTGGAATTTCAGGCATGAGAGAGTAGTATCCAGCCGCACCTATTCCCGATCTATGATAGTTCCTTAATTTAGGAAAGGGGATCTATCATCCAGCTCCTACTCTCTTGCCTTCTGATAGGTATGTCAACCATGGTCATGGTTATGACCAATCATTATGCTGTTTTGTACATGAATTTTACTATGAAACCGTGATTGAAGTGTATGTTTGTATTGGTCGATAGTTGAGTTTTGTAAGAAGAAGAATGTAGAGTTTTGTTATTTACGTATCACGGAGCATCTGATGTTAGTCCTAAAATATTGGATTAAAAAACTTGTATGGTTAGGTATTTAGTTGGGGTGTTATATGTTAATGTCTCTTACTACTTGAAGTAACTCTTTGATATATGTCCATTTATAGTAATATTACTTGTGGAGTAGCCGTGTATCCAAAGAATTTTGTTGAGTACTAATTTTTCAGTTATTGGTCCATTTGTTTTGTTTTTATTGAATTTATTTAACACATTTTTATATAATTATATATTTGAGTTTTTCGTTTTTTTTTTCATTCATCATCTTTTTATAACCTTCCTCTATCGAACGTATCGAATCTCCAATTTTTTTCAATATGTATTTGAATGACTCAATATGTAGTGGGATGTCTCTTGTAAAAGTATGTATCCCTATTGTTAGCACAAAAGGTCGTATGTTACATTAAGTGTTTTACAGCACAGCATAAGAATTCTTCAGTCTATAACTGCTATAAGTAGTTTGCTATTATGAGAAATACGAGAGGAAAATTAAATATGAAATTATACTGATGAACCATAAAGAAATAGTCAAGTTTTTATTGTCTCCTTTTAAAACAATCAATTTTTACTTACAGCCTGTTGTACTAACAGTAATGATAAATATATTTTTTGTAACCTTTTTCTTTTTGCATCTTGAATATACGATATTGTTTTTTCTGCAAATGGATTTTTTTTAGATTTATAATTTTTTATTATATACAGTCAAATAGTTAATTTATTCATGAAAAACTTAAGAAATTCTGACAGCACATTTGCATCGTAATCAGGTTTTTGGGCTATATAGGTTTTTCATACAAATAAAAACCCAAAATAAATTCTCCCATCACAACAGATTAATAAGAGAGATGGCCACAGGTGACATACCCCAGAACATGAGGAGGGATTAAGACTAAAAACGCGTGGGATGAGAGATCTCCTTCCTTAAAAAACCTAAGTAATTGAAACAAGTCAGGAAAGATTTGTTGCTGAGTACTTTCCTTCTCCATGTTTCACATGTTATTTATGTCTTGTATTTCCAGCACATTTGCTGATTGTCAACAAAAAGTTGAAAGGCACAAATAAATTTATTACCCAACCCCTGTAACAAAAAAAAAAAAAAAATATATATATATATATATATATTCTCCACAGTTTTAATGATGATAGAATAATAATTTCAAATTTATCTCCTAAAGAAAAGCAATAAGGAAACCCCATGAAAGCAAATCCTAGCTTAATTTTTTTTTTATAAAAACGGTTTATAAGTTTGTTTTATATAAAAATCATCTTATCATTCCAGTCAAAAGTCCTTCGGAAAATTGTAGGCACCATTTTATGTTTCAAACCTTACGTTACACACTGACATTGGACATGACCTTAACACTCCTTTCATCACGACAACTGCCACTGACCGCTTTAATAATTTTCATGACAGACTGACTCTAAATTCCAATCCACTTACTCAAGCTCTATTTACTGCCACAAATCCATATAATCCGCCCAAAAGACTGCTGAGGCGATGGCCAAGACTTATTGCATTGAGGTACTTGCTGCATTATCTTTTTTGTGTGTGTTATTATGTGTTATTTTACTACTTTTTTTGTCTTTTTTTTTGTTATTACTATTCTTTTCTTCTTTTTTTTTTTTTATGCTATCATTTATTCTCCTTAATACCATATTTGCTGAATACCGAGGTAGATGGCAAATTTATTGTGAGCCAGGAATATGTAGAACTAATGAATGTTTTCAGCAAATATTTTATTTATAAAGACTGTTTATATGTTTTATTTATAAATCAACTGCCAATCGTCTATTGTGGCATCACTTGAGGTTCAGACATCACCCTCTCAAGTGTTATAACTGCAAATCTACTCATATTTGCACCCTCTTTTTGGTTAGGTAGTATAAATATTATTATATGCTAATGAGATCAAAACTGGTTATTACTAGTACATTTACCTAAAATTATCCTAATTATTATTTTTACTATTCATAAAATTTCGAACATTTTACACACAGTCAGAGCTGGCCCAGTTGAGAAGCGTTCCACCTGTAGCTCGCGCACATCCACTTGACCCTGAATGCACACACGCGGTCACATCACCTGGGCGTTACCAGGGCGGGACGCGCCGCCCAGATTCCTCCGGGGCTAAGCTCTTACTTCCGCAGAAGAAAGTAACCCCTCCCCCCCCCACGCGGAGTGACTCAGGCAGAAAACTCGTGACAAAGACAATGAGGGAATATCTTCGCCGGCAGCCTCCTCAACCTCCTTCCAGGGCTGATTCAGAGCCACCACTTTCTCCTCAGCCTATTATCCACATTCTCTCTTTCGACACAGCGTGTAATTATTAATTTGTAAGTTGGGTAGGCCCTGCGTGAGTATAACTGTTTTAGGTAGCAATTAGGGGACCAGCCATCATATGCAGGCTAAGTTCCTTTCAATAATTCATTCACTAATGAGGCCTAAGTGGACCGTCGTTAGCCGAGGACTAACTCGGTAATAAACTACTGGATCTGATCATAATTATCGGAAAGGAGGCGAGTTTATCGAAATTGTGAACCAGTTCCATCAAATAATGATTTAATCTCATCCTCCAAAACGACTGGAAAATTTAGATAATCTTTGTATTTATACAGAATAAAAGTGTTATAGTAGACTTTTAATATAGTATGATTGTTTTTTTAGTAACAGTGATACGATTGAGAGACCAGCTTCATATCAATGGAGCTACACTATCTTTTGAGAGCAGGCATAATCAAACTCTTGAAACCTTGAATTATTCCGAGAAAAAACTTATTCAGTAATCATTTTCTAAAATTAAACCGCGTTTTATTTATTTTATTCTTTTATTTATTTTTTATAAAAGAATTATAAAATGAATTTATAAAAGCGTTTGTAAAATTCCGTGTAGTCACAAATAGCGTAATGTTCTCGGAAATAAAGACAAAAATCGTTTTTTTGTAATAGCAGTTGTTGTTTTCATGTAAGCAAACATAATACTAACCAACATAAGTGACATATAATATATTGCAATATCCATATTTGTATTTCTTTAAACTTATAATCTTTATTTATACCAGTCAAAAATAATTTAACAATCAGTGAATTAGATGGCCGGGAAGAACGATTGACACAACCTATAAAACCCTAAATGAATTAACTTCAGTTTTATAATAAAAAAAAATTAAAGAAGATAACATTTGCCGTCTAACAATGCTTAAGTCCATGATACAGACCTTCTTTTTTTAATCAAATTATTAACAATAACCTGAAACTTCGTAAATAGCTTCATCTCATTGTAACCTACAACTATTTTGTTTAAAGCAAATGGACATTTACGAGTTTTTAGCACCTAATAAAATAGACAAAGTTTAACGATGTACAGATAGAAAACGTCCCAATTCAGAGAATTTTCTTCCGAATCCTACTATGAGAAAGGTATTTACGAAGTTTCAGGCGGGTGTTAATAATTTGATAAAAAGCGACCTCCTCATCCTCTTCTAAAGTCTAAAAGTCTACTGAGATGTCTTTTACTCACTCATGTTGTAGTCTATAGAGGTCACAAAATAAATGAATAAAAATATGTTTAACAGAGTAACAGCGGTTCCAAGTTGAACCGCTTAGATCAATGAAGATGGTGAACTTAATATAGATTGGTTTCAAAATAAAGGTCACAAAATTGAACTTAGTGAATAATCAATTGATTTTTTAATTTTGATTTGAGATTAATTCGAAGATCCTTGAACATCGAAAGAAGTTTATAAGAGAAAGTGAATTTTTTTTTTTTAAATTGTTATTTTGATATTTACACGCATTAATTTTGTATTTTTAAGTATCAAGAATATTAATTGATTACGAAAAATGTGACTTACACTTTATAAACATTTATAACTTCCATTGATTTCTAAGGAATGCATATGTATGAATACATGTTTGTTTTTTTCAATGGCTGTTGTAAAACAAACATGGCTTTCTCGGCAAAAGTATGCTGCGTTCTTGCTCCTGAGAAGAATGGAAATCATATTCGAGTTTAGAAAAAGAAAACAGCTTTCATCAGATTTGTACTATTTGAATCACAGAGAAGTTTTCACGCGAGACATTTAAACGCATTTTTTTTCATCTGAGAGCTTCGTCGGTGGATTTCTCTTAGAAAAGGTCGCCGCTTTTAGAGCCTCATTCCTCTGACTTAACCCCTACACTTCTCTCCACCCCCTCTCAGTAACATAGATACATGAGCAAGTACATAACATAAATACACACAATGAGCGAGTCAAGAGAAGAAAGAAGAAAAAAGGCTGAGTGATTATACAGAACCGGTCTTATAAAGTGTACCTTACTCACTTTCTGTCGGCCATTTCACTAGCTCTTTGACGATCTTGGTCTTTCTTTCTCTCGCTAAGAGGTTTCTCTTCGCGATCGTATCTGACGCATGTAATTTATATTATTTAGCCATCCATAATGTCCCTCGGCCGCCATGACCTCCGAACGGGGGTAATGTGATGCGGGTTTCTATCCGTCAGCGGCAAAAGGTTCGACCGATTGGAATTTACAGCTTATTTAATGTCAAGGGTAGTTAGCGAAGTGATAGGTATTGAATTATCAACAGGAGTGATAAGAAGAATTTTTGACACATTTTAATCTTGCTTTCATAAGTATTGCCCAAAATCGGTCTTGCACTGTGTAAGAGCAAGAACAAAACCGTCTGACTGTTGCAAGACCAAGACCAAGACTGGTAAAAAAAAAAATAGTTTTAGTGAATAAAAAATAAGGCGAAATAGTTACTACTTGAGAATTTTAGTTACTATGTGTAAAAAATCGGTACAACCAATATACTTTTGCATTTAACTCTTCTCCAATTTTTCATTTGGGATTACTTAGGTTTCCCCTATCTGAAAAATTACAGTAATATCTCTGTAGCAATAGGCTAATAGGTAACAGCAAGACTGTTACGAGACCAAAACCAAGACTCGTGTTGGTCTCGCATTTAGGCAACACCAGCCTAAAGGAAAATGGTTCAAACTTGTTCACGGTAGTAGTATGGATGTACATATCCTATAATAAAGCCGAAACGGTAGGATAAAATGTTAATGAATGATTTCAGTTCAGGGTTAGGTCGAAAAATACACATAGATAAAACATAACATAAAATTATAGAGAGATATAACCAACAACGATTTTGGCGATATGTGTAACACAGAGAAGGATAATAATATTTTCAATTTGTTCAAATACATGCCCCTTCAGGATAATTACAAACATATAATAAAACAAATTATAGATACATAATGAATAAACGGTAGGCTTCATAGTTGTACAGAAAAAAAAGAATATGTATATTTATAATTCTAAAAATAATTAGAAATAATGTACGGCAGATGTATTTATGTATTTACGAGTTACGGTTGTTGGTGAAAAAACGTGCCTTTACATTTGTTTTTAACTGCGTAAATACTGGAAGATTGAACAAATGATATGTGATATGTGAAAAAATAGATTTCAGCGAGACACAGTAAGGGACATGACCAATCAAACAGGACAACATTTGGAAGTCATCCCATCTTAATACAGATTGTTGTATGCTGTTTGTGAATTTATCAACAGCTTCTTCAACATCGTCAAGTTTCTTTTGAGACACTGGAATAGCATTGCGTTCATTGTATATCTATATGCATCCCAATCGATAATTCCTCCTACGAGAGATGGTCGTTTTATTGTAGTACATGACGCATCATACAGTACTAAACTGTGAAAAGAATGATCACAAAAGATCATACACGAAAACTAGAAACATTTCAGTCAAAAACTTCCAAAACCATAACTGAAGCTCCATGGTACGTTACAAATCGTAATGTACATAAAGATCTACACATGCCGACAGTTAACGACCACATACGTGCACACTACAAAATATTGCACAATAACTTACAAAGAAATCCTAACATACAAGACATAGCGACAATTAACATACCCGAAAAAATCCATACTAAAATCAAGATAGGTAAGACAGCAAACCCACTGATTGTCAATAATTTTGATAGGTGAGGGTTAAGAAATAGATATCAAAATTCTAGAAAATCCTATCTAATATAAATTTCACTTTGATCTCGAACATACACCAAATTAATGAAGAGAAGGTGTGGAAATCTTAAGAATTCTTTAACATCAAAATATCAAATTATTTTAATAATAAACTAATTACACTTGATCCTTTAGTTCTACATTATTTTTTCTTTGATCCAAATTTTCAGTCTCTAAGGCTCTTTTTAAGGAAAGAAGCCTTAACTTTATAAAATAAAAATTATATGTGCTAATATTAATTTGTTAGCTTCTTTAATATAATAGTAAACCTGGGGTGAACCAAAAATAATGGGATGTTTATTTTACAAAGTAAGGTTTCTTTTCTTGAAAATAGCCTTGAGAGCTGAAACGATGGGTCAAAGAAAGAATAAAGTAGGACTTAAGGATCAGGTATGTTTTTATTATTAAAAATATAACTGAAGTCTTTTTTTTTTTTTTTTTTTCTATAAAAATGTATTTGCGCCTGTCAACTTATTGTTGTCAATCAGCAAATGTGATGGTGAAACACGAAATAATGACAGGCATGGGGAAGGAAAGTACTCAGCAGTACCTCTTCCTTAACTTGTTCCAATTACTTAGGTTGTTTAAGGAAGATCTCTCATCCAACGCCTTTTTAGTCTCCGTATGTTCTAAGGTATGTCAGCTGTGGCCATGCCTCTTATTAGTCTGTTATTATGTCCGTTTAAATTTGTGTAAAATCGTTGATAAAGGGTCGTTATATGTTGGTCAACTATTGGAAGGTGGAGGTCAGTATGCAGAGTTTTGTTAGTCACGTACCAAGGAGCTGAAGTCTTAACCGACAATATAAAAAAAATATGTATTGATAAAAAAAAAATAAATAAAATAATCATTCATCAGAAACGTTACACGTTTCTAATTCGACTTTCCAAGTTGCTAAAATATATATTGTAGTATTTTGATGTGGGCGAAACTGAATCGTACGGTTTTTGCTAATACTTTAATATGATGATCATATACTTTAATATGAATAATGTGTATATTTAAAATTGTTCACACATTTTTCAGACCTTATTGCAGCATACACTGAAGTACATTTACAAAATATTCACTGTCAAGACAAGAAGCAAAACTGACTTATAATTGTGAACCACTCATTAGTCTTTTCCACCTTTTCCATCATGGCAGTAAGATCCTGTTAATCCATGAACATCAGTCAACAATTCCAATTAAAAAGTTAGTCAAAGAATTTCTGGATAGCTAGAATTCCTCGGAGAATCAAATGATAAGCAAAAAATGACGAGCTACATGGAATCCAGTGACGCAGAGGAAATAATACTACAGTGGTTGAGTTACACATTGCGTGGATTTCCCTCCTGTCGGGAGTAAAAGATCCGGGTTGCGTCAGATTCTGTTGAGAGCTGATAGCTGAGAAAGTGAGGCTAAGGTCGGCGGCCTAAGCCCCAACTGTTCTATTCGTGGTTGGTCCAATTAATGCTCTATTTTACCATTCGCAAAAATAAAACCATTTAAATATTAGCTTCAGTATTTTAACACTATATATATATATATATATATATATATATATATATATATATATATATATATATATATAAATTTTATATTAATATATAAAAAATAAAGATATACTTCGTAAAGTGAATATTGAAAGCTTATTGGTTAATGTGGACCTGAGGATAAAAATGAAAGACGGCCTAACCCTAATACATGCACCAAGTGGATCCCAAGAAAAATAAACAGGAAAAAGGAGTCGACCGTATCTTAAGTGACCACATCTTAGATGGAAGGACGAAATCGAACAACATATAGGCGGTAACTGGTGGCTTGTGGCTAGGGATAGAACCAGATGAAATAAAAATTATTATTAATATTTAGTAGTTTTGTTTTGTCTATATCGTTTTAAATCTTCTGTTTTGTTTGTTGACCAGTTTTTTTTCATATCTTACGTATTACATTGCTTTATTTCATAAAGGACAATTAAATATGTATTGTTTTATTTTAAATATTTTGAAATAAGTGATATTTTGAACTTATTTTCTGTGCTGTAGCCAACTCCATTAAAATTCCTCCCTAACGGATAGGTCAATCAATTGATGCCAATAAATGGTATTATTATTATACAGTAACATTTAAGTGAAATATGGGATTGTTGGAAATGAAACAGCGGATACCTTAGCAAAATCTACTTCATGAAACAGTCTCCTGCTTATTAACTATGATAAAACCCTTCTATCTCGCATTAAAAAAATATTTCGGTTGACATCATAAATAATTGGAATAGACAATGGCAAAAAACAACGGAAGGACGACCGCTTCATAAATTTGTTTTAGACGTTACACTTACCAATTATGACAAAATCAAAAGTATGCACTACAAATTTACATAGTTTTTAACTGAACATGGACAAAGCAAATTTTACTTAATACGGTTTCATTTGATCATTGCTGATTCATGCCTTTGCGACGAACAAACCTCCCAGATATTTCATCATATTCTTTACGATTGTCCTATCTTTGACAGTAAACACCATAATTCTATAAGAAGCATAGTTCTCCAAGGCGATAAATGGCCGTTAAGAGAAAAGGATATTTCCAAAAAATACAACAAGGAGATGAAGAAATCTACCCTTGAACTTGATCTCCAACTCCTCTAAGAAGACTGTAGTGATTAATCATTTTATTGTAGATATTCTGTTTTGTATTATTATTTAATTATGTGTTATCTGTTTCTTAATAGTTATCCTATGTATTGTCCATTTTATTTCGTTTTAAGTGAGATATTAGGAAAAATTAAACTTTGTATTATAACTAAACTCATATAATCCATAACTTTTATTAGACTTGTAACTTTAGTTGATGCGATGCGTAATGAATGGAGCATGTAAAATTAACAATATAGGGCCTTCATACCAATTTACTGTATGAAGAAAATATTAAAAATAAAGTGAAATATGCCATGCACTAGAAAATATCATATTTAAAAACAAATAAAACAGGCGGCGCATCAGGTATACCCTACCGCAATACCTATTTACTATTCTGGATTGATTTTGAGGTTCCTTCGCTATCCGAGAAATGTTACACTGTTTATCTGGTGCAGCGATTTGCGCTGAACTACATCGATAAAATAGAAGTTGATTAAGTAAACACAGGTAGAAAGACGTGAGAGAACACGTCGCGCCCCTGCGTACTAATAGGACCCCACGACTGGGGCCATTTTTTTAATTTTATGGGAAATTTATACTAAAAAAATACATTTTATTCATCAGAGAAGAAATAGATTTTCTTAAGTTATCATCTAAAAAATGTTATGTTTTTCAATTGAATGATTACTAATTGCAGAAAATTATATATTCAATAGAAAATGTTTTTATACCTTTTTTCTGTATTTTTTGTATAGAGCCTAGATCGGCCACTGTTTGTTAGTCAATTTTTAACTTCTATAAATATTTTGATCAAAACAGAATTGCTCTTATATTTCTGAAACATTTAATTTAATTTTAAAAGTAGCAGATATAAACCGATTTTAAGATATTTATGGTGTAGTTTATTTTTTTGTTTTTTATTCATTTTTTTTTCATAATTATCATTTGTTTTTCTTTAAAAAAACATAAACGAACCATGAGGAATCGAATCATTAAATATATATAAGCATCTAGTTCTGCCATAAATACTGTTACAAAAGTTGAACTTTCTTTACAATACCCAAGGGGGTATTATTTAGATAATACTTACCTCTATCAGGTTATTTTCTTTACATGTCAGGATAATAATCAAAATAAGTTTGTATTTTTCTTTCGCTCAGTTAACATGGAATGGGGTGATGAAGATCTGTGATCGTCCCTTACACTAAGTTGGAAAATGTAGATAAGAGATTTTCAACACTTTGAAACCTTTGGGTATCAACCGTATGTTCGTGTACTCCACTATAAATAGATATAATGAGACCCTATCTATATGTGACAGACCTCGGGCCGCCCCCACCCTGTGAGAACGGCATATACAGCGAGAGGCTGCTCGAATTAGAAGAAATCCCATTCGAAAACAACAAATCATGTCTCGGGAAATGGGAATCTCTGTCAGATCTATGTCTCGCATAATAAAATGTGACCTTAGGATGGGTGCATTTAGAAGAATGAAAGGACAATGGCTAACCACTTCCCTAAAACAAAATTATAATGGATAGATGCAAAGTGCTCCTTGGCCGTTACACCTATTGTCTTCATCGAAAGATTTTGATTAGTGATGCGAAAATTTTTACAATTGAAGAAAAATTTTATCGCTAAAATGATCGTGTGTACGCAAACAGCTCTAAAGAAGCCCAGGAAGTCATTGGAAAAGTTGAAAGAGGTCATCACCCTTCCTCAGTGATGGTTTGGTGGGGAGTTCGCTTTGATGGCACCGCAAGGTTCCATTTTTGTTAAAAATGAGTTGAAACAGCCGCTAAAAACTATCAGGACGATATTTTGGAACCTATTTTCAAGCCTCTAAATGAGGGAAGTCATTGGATTTTACAGTAGGATTCCGCTCCAGCTCACAAGGCCAGGTCAACTCAGCAGTGGTTGTAAAAGAACATTCCAGTGTTCATATCTACCTAGGATTGGCCCTCAGGAAGCCCCGAACTCTATCCACTAGATTATCGGCTTTGGAATCCGAACTGGAGAGGATGGCACGACAAAGAGCACAGCCTAACTTGGAAAGCCTCAAACAATCTCTGGTCCGAGCAGTTGAGCGTTTTCCTCAAGAAGTGCTGCGTGCTGCTATTAATGACTGTTCACGCAGATTAAATGTCTGTGTCAAGGCAAAAGGAAGACATTTTGAGTATTTTTTTTTTTTTGTTTTAATCTCTGTAGAAATACATTTTATTTTCTAACAAAGTTATTGAAAAAAATAATTTTACTGTTGAAATCTGTATATATTTCCTAGCAACAATATTTTTTTTAATATTCTAAAAGAAAAGTACGTGTTTTTAAAGATCTATCTCAAAGTTAAAATAAAAAAAAAAATAGTCATAGCTAAATAATTTCTACTCGAATCGAAGTTAAAATAATTACAAAATTCTTAATATTAAATATTTTTGATAACCTTTTATTTCTAAGTAATTATTTCTTAAATTTAAAAATAAAATTCATTAAAAAGTACCAATATACAACAGGCCTAAATGTGGATTAAATATTTCGTCCTCAGACAGAAAAACATAAGATCATATAAATACTAACAAGAGCACATCTCTCTTCAACAATATAAAAAATACCAACTTAACAAACACATCACATTTCTCTGAAACGTCTGAAAATCCTTTCCAAGTATTTTGACGAATACGCAGACGTCTCAGAGGCATTGAGAATAGCATATAACTTTTTTTCCGTTTTTTACTTCTTTTTTTTTAAAATGCAAATCCAGAAGACATAAGTTGCCTTTAAAGGCCGCATTAATGTGGGCCACCTCGATCGAAGATCTAGGACCTTCACCTCCATCTTTGACGACATTTCATTTACCTCACAATGGCAGCTCGTCCTTAGGAAACAGAATTTATATTTACTTTTTATATTTATAAAGGATTCGGCTCCTTAATTTTTTATTTCAAAGATAGTCATAACACGTGAAACTGAATTTACGATTTCTATTCCTGGGATACGCCAACCTTGCTATGCCGCTGACGTATTAATGCTGCTCTCGTGACGGCAAGCGTTGCATTCAGATTTAATAGTCACGTGTGTTATCGGCTACGCTTCTGAGAAGGTAAATCGCTTTTGAGGGCAGCAAGCATCCTGCTGGTCCGCCTGTCTGCTTCCGTACCAACAAATCAATAATTTTTTTAAAATATATTTTTTTCACTAAGGCTAAATATATAATATATCTGAATGGAAACCAGCACAGGAGATAAGAGTCATTGAATATGTTGTCGCTCCATTGTGAGAAAAAAATTGAGGATATTGTATTTGCCAAATCTATATCCAAATCTATACACTAAATAACGAATGTCAGAATCAGAATTATTTGGCGCTATTTCTTGTTTTTCTGATTGAAATTTTTGGTTATTGTTGATAAAAACAGTTTCTTAAATGGGAAGAACTAGTTCATTGTAGATAATTTAGTTGGTAATGTCACGGTGAAAAATTTAAACAGTTGGATGCCTACTTCATGGCTAAGGAAAGCGAAGTTGACAATCAAACAAAAACTATTATAATATAAATATGAGGTATGAAAAGAAAATCTGTTAATAAATAAATTCAAAGAATTAAATACAAATTACGTAGTTATATAAATCAAAATACATGTAATGGTAAGGTATGAAAATAGATCTAAAATGTTTTGATAACTAGTAAATCTTTTTATCAAAACATAAGGTTGTATGTAACAATTTTTCATGTTTTTTCTATTTTTGTTAAAGGTGACATTTTGTAGTCTCTAACTGCAATAAGTATTCTACTACTATCGAAACTAATAGAGAGAAATAAAATATGAAATTATACTATAAATCATAAAGTAATAAAAAATTTAATGTTTATGCGACTTAACATTAGCGCTATTATTTACTGTTCCAAATTTATATGTTAATTTATCTGACACCCGGGACTGCTGTACAAACTCCGAAAATTTCTACCACCTACATACTTCCTCATTATCCGTTCCTACCTTACTGATAGATACTTTAAAGTAAATCACAATAACGCCTATTCATCCCTTTTTTCCCAGTCCGCTGGTGTTCCTCAAGGTAGTATCCTAGGTCCTATCCTCTATACAGTTTATACAGCTGATATACCTACCTGTCCCAACACTGTCATCACCAAATATGCCGATGACACATGTATCCTATCAGTAAACAATGACCCAGCAATTGCATCCCAAATGCTTCAATCACACATCATAAATCTAGAAGAATGGTGTCAAAACTGGAGAATTAAAATAAACTCCAATAAATCCCACCAAATTACCTTTACCCTTCGTCGTAAACCAACGACTTCCTGTCCTACAGTTTCCTTTAACAATACTCCACTTATTCCTGTTGAGCAAATCCGATACCTAGGACTCCACCTGGACAAACGACTAACTTGGAATCCTCATACTAGACTGAAACGACAAGAAACCGCTCGACGTTTCCGATTACTTCAGCACTTACTAGACAAACGCTCTAAACTTCCCATTAATTACAAAAGACTCATATACTTGACTATAATAAGACCTATTTGGACTTACGGAGTTGAGCTATGGGGCTCCACCAAACCATCGAATTCCTCTCGCATCCAATCCTTACAATCCAAAATCCTTCGTAAAATCCTCAATGCTCCTTACTTTGTCAATAATAAAATTATCCATAAAGATCTTAATGTTCCTTATATTTCAGATCTGGCCCAATCCAGATACCTATCCTTCCATAATAAACTTCAGAATCATCCCAACCCTCTCGTTTCTAACCTTGCTTCCTCTTCAATTCCTGATAACCCTCCGAGGCGTCTGAAAAGAAGATGGGCCCGTGATCTCCTAATGTAGTCATATCATTAGAGTGCTACCATTGGGTAGTTACTCAGCAAGTGTATTCATGTTATCATATTATATCAATTATGTCCAAATTTACTTGATGTATTTATGTAATACAGTTGTAAATGTCATAAAGAAATTAAAAAAAAAAAATTATCTGAATTATCTAAATTGTTTTCACTTCTTTGAACTGATTTATTAGCAGATAACATAATTTGTTTTCATAGCTATTTATAATAGGTTTGTAATAATTTTAGTTTCGTTGTTATTCTGTCTTTCTCCAGCCCTTGTAAACCCACGAGACATAGGCTGAAATGTCGACACTAAATATTTATTTTTTTAATAATTTTCAAATTGCAATCCCCTTCTTAATTTCCAACCAAGTAAGGTTTAAAAAAAAAAATTGATTATATAACAGTTAATATTTACGAAGTATATTTCATCTGAAGAAAGAGAATGCCACTAGCCAATTTAGAAAGCGATTTGCAAATACCTTGGGAATGGTAAATATAATTGAAATAAAAGAAAAATTTGTTAGGTAAAGTTTCTGGTACGATTAATAAAGGGACCACAGGAACAGTAATCAGTTTGATGACGGATTGGCCGAGACGTAGATGGGTGGTTTTCGTTAGCTTCAGAACTTGTGGGTTACGGCTATGACGGGGTTCGTTCACCGGAGAGCGTCTACCTCTGTGACGCTAGTTCGTCGCTGATTACTTCTTCAGGCGACCCATCACGAACGTATGGGACCGCTCATTATCCGTTCCATTAGTCATTTTAGCATACAACAATCGTTATAGGTGAATACTTGGTATGAAAAAAATCTTGTTTAAAAATGGTTGATTTGGCCATGACAAATTGTTTCGATATTGAAAAAAAAGTAGAAGAAAAATGATCCAGAAAATAAATTATGGCCAATGAACTTTTTTTCTTTATTTTTAAAAGATCTATTTAAAAACGGTCTTTCTAAACAATTCTATAATTTCAACGTTATTGATATGAAGAGGGAAATTTCAGGCACCATATTTAAATCATACAAAAAAAATTCAATTTTTCTTATACAAAATTTTATATATAATATAAACAGAATTTAGGTGGTATATAATTTTAGATTAGTTGTTATCCTGTCCTTCCTCATCTCTGATAAACCCCATGAGACATAGGATGAAACGTCGACAAAAAATATTTATTTTGTTAATTATTTTTCTCGCTGTGACTGCAACTCCCTTCTAAATTTCCAACCAAATTAGGTTATAGCCTGTTTAATTGAAGTTTTAAATGTTTGAAAATATGTTTCTATTTTATATATAAGCCCTTTATTTCCATATTTAAAAAAAAAAGTTCTATTTTATCTATTTATTCGGAATCATTTGCGTTTTTATCTTGAATTTACGTTTTAATTACTCTAATTTTAAAATATAATAATGGTTCTGATTTGACAAAAAAATATAAATATTTTTCTATGTCACTTCACCAATTTCGAGTCCTGAATAGGATGACGAAAAACTATTTTTTTTTTTTTTTACAGCGACTATGGATAAAACGTCGAAAAAAAAAATACGATACTTCAACATTTTTGTTTATTTTCCCATGAAGAGTTTTAGGTCTTGAGAAGTATGTTTGTTTTTCCATAAATTAATATTATTTCATTTTTACCGGAGAAAGTTGCACTAGCGGACGAAATCTGAATTTTAGTTTTGTTTCGCAGAAAATAAACAAACATATATTCTTAAACATATATTTTTAAGCAATTCCAAGTCTCACTGGATAGAAAAAATTATGGTATTTATTTTTCAAACAAATAATTTTGCTGCTGAAGGTATTTTGTTAATTAGTAAGAGTATGTAAAAACAATGGATTTTACCAAATACAATATGCAATTTATTTGTTTAGTGTTTCTTTTAACAGAATTACAAATGATTTCTCTAGACAAGTTTGTGATTTCTGTATTTCTGGCTTGGGTGATATAATCGGTAAGAATGTTTACCTGATGCCTAGTTCACTCCATTGGGAGCAGGTGCAATGTCTCTACCTACACATTCGTACATAATTGACATTTTTCGAATTGGAGAGAACGACAATGAAACAAGCTGTCTTGGGAGGACAATTTAGATTAATTATGTATAATATTGATAGTTGTAGCAAAAACCCTCAAAATTAGCGAAAATACTTTATTGGTCTCCAACAGAGGAAAGGTTCAAACAAAAAAATTCTACATTTCCGTTTAAAGAAAAAAAAAAAAACTTTTACTGATCATATGATGCTTTCAGCAAATATACACATGACTAAGTGAAGGACAAAGACTCACGATTAATAACAAAGAATTCCGACTGATGCATCGTTCTTCCCAATTATTGTTTCTGTTTGTCTCTGTACTTGGAGATAATCCCTGACTCTTTTGTAGTCATAACAACGCTGTATTAATCAAATTACTGAAATATATTTGCTACCTAGAAAGCTGCATTGAAGTTTCATTGGATCCTTCTTCTCTATCAAGAAAACTGAAAGCCTTTTTTTTTGCTATGTATCCCTATAAAGATTCACGAGCAGAGAGGAGAAAACCTTTATAAAAAATGTCCAAATGGAGATTCTAAAAGTTGAGACTTTTCGCTCGGCCTCCTTTTCCCGAGATTTTTCCTCCTTAACCCATTTTCATGGCCTTTGTTATTAATAATAATAAAAAAAAGAAGCTCCATTGTTGCCTGTTTAAAACGTGGGCTCTTAAATTAATATCAACGGGGAGCTAGTTTTGGGTCAGCGGCCCTATTTTGAAGGAAATGAATACGTGAGTAGAATGAGAACTTGCTAACTAACGGTATCAACATTAATATCTCGCTTATGGAGCCACTGCCCGTCTACGCTACATCCTATGCTCGGGGTTTAATTGGCGTAACCTATAACCACTGGAATAAAATAAGTTATTGAGCTCTATCAGAGAGAGAGAGAGAGAGAAAATAAGGATCGTTTGTGTTAAAAACTATGGGTGGTAAGCAAAGTCGTTTCTCTAAATACACTTACACGTTCCATCAAAAAGGAATACTTTTATGAAACTTAATGAAAAAGGACGCCTTTCAGGCAATTTAATTACTGAGACGCTTCTTACCTCCTTTACTTACTCGATGCTTAATCGAAATTTTAATGCCTTTTACGGCTAATCTTGAAGAATAGAAAAAACATTTTTTTTTTTTTTTTTTTTTTATTGAGATTTACAACTGTATTACATGGAAAATACAATAAGTAAATTTGACATTGGTAACATGACATGTACAACATGAAGAGAAACTTCCCATTGGTAGAACTCAAGAAAAAACATTAAATTGGCAAACCAATCTTTCAGTTAAGTTTAGGAAATATTGTACAGCCTGTGAGGCATATATTGAATTTTGATGTCTTGTCAATATTGCTGTATCGTCTGCGTAAGTAGCAGTAAGTGTCTGGAATATCATATGTGTTAATGATATAAAACAGAGGAGCGAGTACTGACCCTTAATAAGTAATATTTTACTTTTATCATTATTCTTACATATATATTACATTTATATAGTAAATTACATATATAAAAATATCTGTTGTGTGACCGGAGTTCATTTTTGTCAGTGGTGATAAGCTTAATTTTCCCGATTAAAATGAAGTAAACATTTTATATGGTTATTGTATGTATTATGTTATAAATTTTGAAATAAATATCGAGCGTATTAAGGTTCAAACTAACAAAAGTAGAATAAAATATTTTCACTTAAATTAAAAAAAAAAATCTCTAAACATGGCTTACATTGTATAATTATCGCAGTGTAGATTATCGCCTATCTTTCCGGCCTCTGATTCGTGGTAACTTAAAATGACAGGAAATAAATCAATATAAACAACAAACATGTGATATTCTTTGGAGTTTTGTTGAAGGAATTGATAAGAAATAAATCAACATACAATTTTTCTCATTAGCGAAGATGAATGCAGCGGACCCTAATGTGCAATGACAATGTCTCATCAATCAAAAACAGATTAAAACAACAAAGGGTTGAATTGAAATGCCAAAAGAAAGCATGGAAGCGCTAATAGACACATTGTTAAAGCTACAATACAATTGTGTATAATGATCAGCACGGTACAAAACATAACAATACTCTGCGTAGAAGGAAGGGCCATTGTTGTTATTTTAAATATAATTATGCATTTCGAGTATAATTCGAATTCTTAAAGGTCATTCAACAAATATGAATGCTAGGGCCACCACAAGGGGTGTAGATTGCTAGGGATACATGGTACCAGGGACTCGGTGAACACTCAACAGAAGTCTTTTATTCTTTAAGACTATAAGAATAGGTTCTTAAAAATAGAAGTATAAAATATCATTTTGTTAATTGCATAAAATATCTACCATTATGATATACTTAAATGTATGCATACATATGAAATATGCACAATATTTATAAATACACATATATGTTTTATGATGGCTCTTCCACTCCTTCCAAAGGTAATATTTCCTTGGCACATGCTTTTCAGATTATTCTTGCTATTCCTACGATCTTCTCCAATTCAAGTTCTCTGTCCACTCTCTTACCACAAGATCTCGACCTTCTGAACTTCATACCATTTTCTCGTTTGTTGCCCTACTACTGCCTACTACCTTTACTACTTTCTTGTATTCCCTCCTTCTAAAAATCCGGCTTACTCCATCCTTATTCAAAACACTCTTGTTCCAATTCCTGTCATCAAAACAGTCAGATTATGTATTGCCACTAATATGAACAATGCTTCATTCTTAATATTCTTATATTTTACAAGAATTTCATGCAATTCTACCTATATTTATTTTCTTGTACATAACAATTAAAACAACAGATATAATTTTTTTTGTTATGATTTCTCTCTCTTTTTTTTAAATATCAACTATTTTGTTTCATTCTACATTTATTTTATATGTAGTTTTAAGTTATTAGTTATTTTTATAACTTTTTTTCAGAAAAAAACAAATTACTAATATTTAAGTGTCATGTCTGCTTTGAATTTTTCATTCAGATTCTTCAATGAACTTCAATAGAACTGATTCTTTTAATTTTCCTCGCTCTAATTTTTAATTATTTAAAAACAAATGGCTATATTATATTCTTAATGTAAAAAAAAATATTTCTTATCAACTTAATGTGGAAGACTATTGGTCGTATAATTCTACTTCTTTTTTACTATTATGAAAATGTATCAGTATATTTATATAAACGTAAAGAAAAAAAATGGATATTGAAAGTTATTTTTATTTAATGTCTACATGTGGAATTAAGTAGTCCAATTAAAAGTTTTAAAAATAAATAATTAAAGATATTACTTATTATAGATGCCAGATTAGACTTACAGATTATTATTGCCCAGATCAGACTTAATCTGCAGCAGGGGGTCATAAACTACGGATGCTTCCTTGATTATATCGTAAAATTAGAAAAAAAAATTTAAAATATAAAATTTAGCAAACTACTCACACACGAGGTTACTAAAACATTAAATTACATGGATTTTGTCTGTAAAAAGGTTATTTAATAGAACAAGATTTTTTTTCTCTTTATAAGCTATGGTCCGTGAGACATGGGAGGATGTCTGAATAAGGCCCGTGGAACTTAGTCGAGGTCTCTATATAGCCCGCGGACCAAAACATTTGGAGACTCCTGATCAACAGGAACGACATTTCAACAGTTTTTTATTATTCGGTAACTAAACGAAGTTAAGTCCTTATTGCTTAGATTGAGCGTGCTATTTGTTAGAAAAATATACTAGCTTAATCGTTATTTACCACAAGTCTCAAGAGACATCCTTCCGTGAGAGTATACGAGAAAGTCGTGAGGAAAATTTTCTTGAATATTCAATATCATAAATTATGAAAGCCTTTACTTTACATTTTAGTCTCTTGAGTATTACATTATTACATATACATATACATATACATATACATTAACGCCATTAGTGAAAGTTTCAAAATTGAAGTGAACAATGATGCGGTGAATAATTTGATTTGCCAAAGATGAAGTGAAATTTTTTCGATGCTATCTGATCCACCGCAACAAAAACAATAGTTGTGGTATGATGTATTAGAAAATGGTTTACAGCGGTTTTAAACACCTTATTTGGATGGGTTGTACGTGTGCTTATGTATAGGCCTATGTTAAAAAATATGTTAACATAGTTATGTGTATTATGGGTAAATACATGTAATATTAACATTTTATAAATCTAATTAAACCTATAAATACTGAAAATATTTATAGCTTTAATCTGTAAATATCTGATTCAAATAATGAGGTATCGAAAGGGGTTTCTTCTTTTAATTTAATGTGATTTTTAATTAATTGGTATAATCAATCTCACTTTCTCCTTTAAAATTCTTAACAACTCTCAAAAATCAATGTCATATCAATTTTATCTAAAGAATCTTTAATTAAAATGAAAAAAGTTAATTCCATATAAGTTAACACCGCTTGTTTTTATATAATTACAGTTACGATCCACTAAACTTAATTAGAAGCGATAAACTTTGAGTAAATAACTTGTCATAAACAGTTAATAAAATTTAATTTATTTTTTTAATTAAGCTTACAAAATTAATTAATATTCTAGTTAGTCTAGTAAATAACTTACGAGGAAATATACATTTTTGCAGTTAGTTCATTATTTTTAAAATCCTTCCAGAAAAAAATATTGTTTTTGTAAAAAATATATACAATTTATCTTAAATATTGGTGGAACATTTATAATTAATAATGTGGCGGTTTTGTCGGTATGACACTTCTTTCTTTACGTAAATGTCGTTTACATAACTTAAATATCGTCGCTATAAATAAAGCGTAGGGAGAATTTTTTAAGCGATTTGGAGTTGACTTAAGAAAGACCGTTTTTTTCTATTGACTGTACTTCTCTGGATATCTATTAGGCAATAGTTAAAAACAGCATTATGAGTTTTCTTTTATTTATATTTTTATTCATTATTAATTATTTAAAACATATTGCGTTTGTAAAAATACTTTGTAATTATAAAACCTCTAAAGTGAACATGCTTCAATTCACATATAATGTTTCCAATAAACATAAAAGGGTTTAAATTGCCGTTATCACATATTTATGTTCCATCTTTTTTTAACTATTACCTTTATAAATTTTCTAATGTGATGTTGTATTTTTTTAATTTTAGCCCTAGTATGACCTCATGCTTAGGTAGAAATTTCGACAAACAATAAAAATTAAAGACTGCATATTCTGACTCATATATTCATACATATATAAGTTATGGTTAGTGGTAACACTATATAATGTTTAATTCTATATAGATAATGTAAACAAGGCTTAATTCTATATATTGAGGATTAAATAATGTCAGTATTTTGCAAGCAACCAAGTCTGTTATTTCGCATCCCTTTTTCCTTTTTTTTTCATTTTTGTTTGTAAGTTTATATGTATATATATATATATCCTATGCACAGTCAATACTCAAGGAATATCCACCATCCATCACCAACCACTTCTATAAATAAACTTAGAAGCCTGAGAGGTGGAACTAGAGAGCCGAGGAAGTGGTGGCTAGAATCCGTTACCTTTGGTAGCCTAGATCGGCCGGCCTGGTATTCAGGTATTCGTTTGGTTCACCTGCCACAGTCACTTTCCACGACCTCCGGAGGACGTCCTCGGAGGGTAGGGTCGTTGGGGAGTACCGCCGCTCTTTGATACACTAATGCACCGCCACTCATCTCATATTTCCTCAAGTATAGTGAGCCAACTTAGTAGTGAATATAATTTTTATGACTAAAATTATTATTTTCATGTTGAAACTTCAGAAGGGAACCTCTTTAAATTGAAAATGAGACCTTATAAAGAATATGACGTTGAACTTTATTTCACTTTCAAAAATAATTTTTTAAGACTTTAAATATTTTTTAAAAATATTGACATAGCAGGCAGAGATAGAAAAATGGACTATAATTAAGCTAATAGCGATTTCTAAAAAAAAACAATATTAATAAAATGAAAATGTATACTTTGAAATACTCCTGAAGATTACCGAATAGCCGAAATGTTGAAAAAAATGAGGTAATATAAATAAAAAGAAATTGCCTAGAATATATGAGAAGTTTCTAAACTCATCGCTAATTCAATCGATGGAATCAAGCACCGATGAACTACGATTTGTTACGTTAAGGAACCACCAGCTGGATTCTAACGAAGGTTTTGTAACTCCAAGAAAGTTATAAAACAAATGAAAATACAAAATAGATAAGGATATATTTACCTACTAAATCGTTGAGGTTCAAAAGATTAATTAATATAAATAGAAAGTAAATTGAAAATAAATCAGTATAATAATTGAAAATATTACAATACTGAGGTTAAAATAACGTTACATCCAATGGCCCCTTTAATCCCTAAAGCCCTTTGAGATTTCAGTGATTCATCGATGATGGACTTGTTATGCCCGCCAATTAGCTCAGGGCTGGGTTAAAGAACTTGCCCTTATTAGAATAATATAAATATTATGAAACCTATGATGAAAAATTTAGCTAGAAAAATGCTATTCTTATTATTAATCTAAAATTTATTCACATAATTATGAAATAATTTTGGACCAAATATTGAATTATTAGTATAATTTTCCTATGAACTTATTATTCTAACGAGTCTTTAAAATCAGGATAAATAAGCGTTTTTATCATTATTACATATATTATACAATTTTTTCATACATACAATATAAAGTTAATAATTTCATTTTATACATACTCGATAAAGCTTTACCTAAACTAATTTGGACTTATGGTATAGAATTATGGAGTTCTGCTAAAACTTCCAATTTTAAGAAAATCCAGTCCAAAATTTTACGAAGGATAGTTGACGCATCATTTTATGTCGCAAACGATATATATAACTTGAACATCCCAACAATTTTAAACATTGCAAAAGAAAACGACAATAACTTTCACCAAAGACTATCTTAAACCATAAATCCTCTGACAGCAAATCTTAAACGCACAAGAAACCCGTACACTTCGACGATTAAGAAGACGGTGGCCAAGAAACCTGCTGAACTGATCTATTTATTGGATAAGTGATGGGAAGCTGCCAAAAAATTTGCTCATTGTAAAGAAATTTGCAGATCGCAAATTTAATTTCATGTCCACTTGATAGATACCACTTACCAAGCCGAGATACAACAGCTAGAAAACGAATGAGAGATATTATTCCATATAAAATGTAGTTAGTGAAGCCCTTTGATAAACCTATTAATAACAGGGTCACTTAAACCATTTACCCATATACTTTTTCAAAAATACCTTTCAAATTCCCCATTTATATATGAGCATCAAAACAAAATTGTTTATTGATTTAAAGCGTTATTCCTACTATTGCGATTTTCTTTTCAGTTTCAAAACGTCTTCTTCTTTTATTCACCTCTACAGAGAAGAAGAAGAAAGAAAAATCGAGCTTAGCACTTTCACGTGTCCAGAGCGGGCTAACGGTAAGCAGGAGATCCACTTCTAAGACCTGTCTGCCTCGGCCCTCGTTCCATCGCGTAATAACCTGTATTTTTATAATACGAAAGACAAATATTATAGTAACAAGAAACGTAAATAATGAATATTATAAAAACATAAAAAAAAAAATGATTTACACTATGTATAGTTTAAGGACCAAAACTTGTTCATAATTCTACAACTTGATCCCTTTTTTGTAAGTGATTACGTTATAAATGGAACAATCCAAACTATAAACCCACGAGTGTCCAACATACAGAATTAACTTGCCAACGTTTCGCCAATTCAGGTATCATCAGGGCAGAAAAAACAAGATCACAAATATGTCGAAAGAAAAAAAAATACCCAACATATGGTATTGACATCTCACTAAGCCATCCAAATACACACTAAAGGAAACAGAAGATCCTATAAATACAGCATTATATTAAACAGCTGATTAGGAGAGATAAAAGGGTAAAAAGTATAATATACCTAAAGTATAATAATATAAATATGTGTTAGTTAAAAACAGAAGAAAAAAATAATAAATACAAAAGAAAAAGCCCGAAGATGTTTATAATATCAATACCAAACAAAACTATAGGCCCTGAAGCCTTAATTGGCGAAACGTTAGCATTCACCTGCATATTAGACACTCACGTCTTAGGGTGTTCCATTTATAATATATTTTTTAAGTATTTATACAGTATAATATATTATCAACGGAAAAAAAAAATATATATATAGAATGTAGCCTTTGTTATATCTAATAATATACTATTATAAGCAATTTAAGAACACTTGATAATAATAAGGGAACCCTTACAAATAAGTGGCGAAAATTTGATTATAAATAAAAGTTGACTGATGAGTTTGTGGTAAATACAAATAATTACTATTCTATCTGTGATAGATAAGGAAAGTATTAAGAAATGGTCAAATTGTCTATGTGCACTTATCAATGGGCGTTTCAGAGCCTTTTGAGTCCATAAACGTCTCGTCATTGTTCTGAGTATTTGTGACAAAATCATATTTTGAACGAGTGGAACTAATTTTTTTTTTTTTTTTTATGTTTCGTACAATTTGTTAGAATGTAGCACTTGAAAAGCTCAAAAATTTTAATAAAACTTATCTAAAGTCTTTTACTTAAATCCCTTTATTATATCATATGTAACGCATACTCGAATAAAAAAAAATGAGAGGCATTTAACAAATACCTGCTAAGAAAAAGAGATAACGAGAATAAAAAAAGAGATTTTTTCTAGAGCTATTCTAAAAAAGTTACCTAAAGTCTTTTCCTTAAAGCCCTTTATTATATCATTTGTAACGCATACTCGAATAAGAAAAAAATTTTAAATTACTACAATATTTTGTTTTTGCATTACTAATGAGGAAATTTCCAGGGAAACGTACATAATCATTTGAAAGCAAGAGCGGAGCCTGATGTAGTTTTTGAGATATCCCAAGGCATGGGCTGAAACGTTGGCATCAATAAAAATCTTATAAACTAACTGCGCCATGACTATTTATCGCACTATTTCTATGTTCCTTTTTTTTTTTTTTTGTATATTCACAGTTACAAAAATATTAGATTGAAAAAAAAAATGCGTGGTTGTTGATCATTCCAATTCGTTTTATTTAAATGCGACAAGGCATTTAACAAATGCCTGCTAAGATAAAGAGATAACGAGAATAGAAAAAGAGATTTTTTCTAGAACTATTCTAAAAAAGTTATTTTTAATGGCTAAAATAATTATTTACACATTAAAGTTGATTTACAGTGTAGAATTTTATTTTTATTTGTGTTTATTTTTTTGCGACATTTTAGAATTTTGAGTTATTACTTTTTATTGATAGATGCTTTCTATTGAAAGCATCTATTGATTAAATATCTAGTGTTTCTAAACACAAATATTCTCACTGCTTTGTGTGCCAAGCCCAATAAAAATATTGATTGTAATCTTATAACTTTTTTTAAAAGTTTATTAATTAAATTTGTACACATTTATTGAACTTGTTCGTAATCGAATTTACTTTTATTGCAGTGATGGTTAGACGTATTACTCCTGTGACATATAAATATGAACGTAATATAATATTGGAGACATTAACCCAGATCGTTGGCCCATTTCTGATTAGCCAAGCGATCACTCACTGTTTATCTTGAAATAACGGTCCGACCCCCCCGATCTAGGCTTTCTAATGTAGCGCTCCTCCAGTTAGGGGGCGATCGGGTGACAAGGACATATGCTACAACATATCTATGCTACAATATATGCCAGCAACAGGTGTAAATAAAAAAATTCTATCGGTATTGGGGTTACTCCGTTTAGTGGATGCTCAAGTAATTCAGAGAAAGAAAGTAACGTTAGCAACATGAAAATCAGTAGGTGGCGGATGTGAATAATTTACACGATATATGAGAAACGGTAAAATAAATAAGTACCGATGATAATGTTTATTATACCATTCATTAGATATATTGGTTTATTATTTTCAAAAATGTTTTCAAAATTTTTTTAAATACCTAAAAGTCACTGCGTTGTTATTAATAGCAATGAAAACATTTTGCCCTCTACTTTGTTGGCAGCGATATATGTAGGCAACGTAAGAATAAATATGTCGCCCACGAACACCTCCAACTATTATAATAATACATCCCATATAAATATGAAGTACAAAAGAACCGAAGCAATCCATAATGCGGTCGAAAAAGATAATTGCACAAAAAAAAAAACCCTCACAACAGCAATCGCCCTCAAACTTTACCTCAATTTTCCCTCTTTCATAACCCACTAATGCCTTTTGTTGCACGTTTAATTGCAAAAATAGGAACCCTGCCCGTAAATCACCAATCTCATAAATCCCGTAATTGTTGGGTCCTGCCTTTCTGCTCCACTAAGTCAAGTAGGGGCGGTAATTTCACTGGGGTCTGTAATTAATCATGAGATTGCAGTAGATCTTCCTAGCGCTGGAATCTGTTTCGTAATTTTAGCTGAATAATTCATATCACTGTTGACTATAATAGTTCGACCCTTTGGAATGACAAGGCTTCAACCTGTACTTCGTTTGTTTCGTGTCAAGTCCCAACAACTCAAACAAGTCTTATCAGAGATTTCCCAAATCCATAGATTTTAGGAAGAGAGTGTTCTATTTGAAGTAGAATCCAAGCTCTTCAACTGTTTATCTAAGTTATAGTGAAAGTTTTAGTTTTTTGAGATTAGGCCCTTACTGTCAATCCACCGCTGCTAAGAAAGAATAAAATAAAATGTATCGATTAGTTGTGACACTGCTTTTTGACCAAGAATAACTCATCGGTAATAAGGGTGACTGACGAAGATATGCGTTTAGCTAATGTGAATAATTAAATTTTAATTATTTTAATTTATCCCCCTACTTTAAAAATTAAAATAGCTTGTAGTTATTTTATATAATTAAAAAAATAAAGTGTTATGTTTTATGTATTTTTTAAATTCATTTTTCGCAACCCGATTTCAAAATAAATAAACGTAAGAACAAATTTATAATGCCCAATTTTCGTTTCGAATAGTGTTGCCCAAAATCGGTCTTGGTCTTGCAAAGTTGCAATCAAGACTGGTAAAAAAATCGTTTTGTTAAATGAAAATTAAGACAAAATAGTTACTAATACTTGACAATCTTATTTACTATATGTTAATAATTGGTATAACCAATATACGTTTGCATTTAGCTCCTCTAATTTTTCATTCGGGCTTAGTTAGTTTTCTCCTATCTGAAAAGTTACAGAGATATCTCTATAGTAATAAGCAAATAAGTAACTGCAAGACTATTGCGAGACTCTTGCGCAAGATCAAGACCATGACCAAGACTGAGTTTGCAAGACCAAGACTCGTCTCGGTCTCGCATTTGGGCAACACTTGTTCCGAGACGTTTCAAATTCAATACAATTTTTAATTCAAATGCTTTTCAATGCGTTATGGATATCCCTACTTTAATTATAGTTACGTGATAGTATTATGAGCTAAATTATCCACTATAAAACATAATGTTGAAGTAAATATACCTAGAAATATAGGGAATAATGTTTTGGTCACTTTGCGTTCTGCAACACAGCCACGGAATGAAACTGAGGGTACTCGTAAGAATGAGGAAGTACTAGTGAACAGTACTTTGAAGCCTAAGTTGTATTTCTCTACTTTTCTGACACATTTGGATGCCAATTGGGTTTTGCGAACTTGCAAATCGATCAGATCTCGCAATTCCTTACAGAGTATGGGGATTTTCACGCCAAGCTTCGTGCTCTTGTAAAGGAAACAGATTTCCTGTGCCCTATGAGCGGAATACCGGGGACGGCTGTGCACATCATGTTACACCCCCGTCGAGGCACTAAAGACTGAATTACTGACGGAATTCTGTATGTTCTCACGGAGAACGAGTTCCCTCAGATATTTATAGAAGCAAAACTACCCGTACTACAAATAATTCTTGTACGGTTGGTATTACATAATCACAATGGGATCGGGCCATTTTAACGTTGAAAGAAGAAGACTAAACAATGGGAACCATCGCCGGAATAACCTGGAAAAGATGATGGCCTCGCTCAAGCAGTTAGATACGAAAGACAACTATGAAGATATGTTCATAGGCAACATATGAATACCCAGTTTACTTATGTCGACAACACGTGTGTTGCCGGTGGAGAAGAAATGCAAATAGAATAATATGGAATGCTTTTTTTCTTTTTTAAATGTTATTTTATTGAGAAATAGTACAATTTGCCTGAATTAAAGGGCATTGAGTATTAGAGCTGTATGAGATTCATTCATACAATATTCACGATTGCAAAAACAATAGAAAAATTATAACAAAAGAAAAGAAAAATAAAACAAAAGAAATGAAACTTGAGGCGACATTAAGTAAAAATATATAAATACATTCATAGTTATTTACAATATATACAGTCAGCAGAGGGAGCTCCATGTCGGACCCTTTTTCCCACGTGTGGAGAAATAGGCAAAACTAATATGGAATGCTAAATGCAGAATA